GGACCAGACTGTTTCTCCTGGAATTTGAGGTGGAAACAGAACACAGATCTTCCCTAGTATTAATGATGTCCCTCTTTGTAGGCTTCCCAGCAGAGTAGTTCTGTCTGATAAAGTGGGAGGTGAATGCTGTGCTCCCTAATCAATAGTCTTTCTCAGTCCCATGCGACATATGAACCCTCTCACATGCAGCCCCTGCAGTTGAAGCCAGAGCACCATGACCCAGAGGGCCAGAACCCCATGTCCAGTGTCCAGTGTTGCCTCTGCCTTCAGTGATCCCACCCTCCAGAACCCAGTGATGAAGACTCGAGTGGCAGAGAAGACCAAGATTTTAAGTAGAGATATTTTGATATTAAAGTAGAGAAGGGAGCCTGCCAACTAGCAATAAGAGTGCAGACCTTTGCTTACAGCTTTTGAGCAAGGGAATATTCTATGTCCTGGGTGCGATCCAGGTCAAAGTGTTTGATAAAAGATATTACAATAAATTGTATTCTTAAGAAAATAAAAACACATAAGGAACCTGATTATGATAGCAGTGTTTGGGTTTTATAGTACTAAAGTGGTAAACATAAATTTTTCAATGTGCAGTGGTTGATCGAGAATCTCCTAGCCCCTCCCCTTCCTATGATGATTCCATGGTCTTTGCAGGTCATGGTCACTTGGCTGCCTGCTTCTCAATCAGATGCATCCTCAGTACAACCCCAAGAGCCTCCTCGATCAACATAGATGAGCAGCTTCAACCTCCAGATACCACATACCATTGCCTGATTTGTATGTAATTTATCAACACCAAAAGTATTCTATTCGGTTTCATTATATAGTTATTGTTCTCTGCATGGCTCATTCCCCCTACTGAATATCAGTACTTGGGATCAAAAATTGTCTTATTTACTTACATGCACCAAACCTTAAATGATAGTATTTATTGGTTCTGAAAACTCTGACATTAAGTTAAAATCCCTTAAAAGCAACTACATGCTTCTTTTTTTAATTAGAAGAAGTATGGTGTGATCACCTCCACTAAGGAAACTAAACTTCTTTTACAATTGAAAATGATTAATTGGACATGGGAAAACATATAGACAAAAGTGACAAGCATTATTATGATGTTAAATAAACACAGTTTGCATGTAAAATGTACAGTTATGATTAATTGTATTCAACACAGGAAGAAGAAAGGCCCTCATAGTTTGTGTGGCTTGCAGGAGTGGGTGAGTGGTTTAGTCTTGAGAAGCAAGGGGGAGCTGATGAGTGATCTCAGGCAGGCATCCAATACCAGGACCTAATATGATTAATTACAATTTTCTTTTCTTTAAGATTTGATATTTTAAGCTGGTCCTGCTGGGGAAGTTGTGAGCACATTCACGGAATACGTGGAATAAAAATTTAAAACAGTATGTTTCAAAATACTCTTAAACAGCTCAGAAACACCCAAAGAAAAGTATCTTATAAAATATCATACCTTCCTCACCCCTTCTTGATATTTGGGTTTAACCAATCATGGATCACAGTTGGATGTTTCTCCACATTGTGGGCTACAGTGTTGAAGAAACTCCTCTTTCTGGTAGGACAGAAATGGAGTCAATCTTGCCGTATCTGGCCAATCTTGTCCTGGCCAATCTTGCTTTATCTCGGAATGTTACATTTCCAGAACCTTCTACAGTTATTCCTAAAAACTACAAGGAAGAAATGGAAGAGAACTGGGATCATTCAAGACAAAATGGAACTTGTTCTGCAAATACTGTAGTGAAATCATAACTCAGTAATCGTTTTGTGACTGGCTTATTTCACTTACATAATGTCCTCTAGTTTCATCCACGTTGTAGCATGTGTCAGAATTTCCCTTTTTAAAGCTAATTTTGCTTTTCTAAAGCGACAAGATGCTACTGCATGTATATACCACATTTGGATTACAAGTTCCCTCCTTTGTGAACATTTGAGTTGCTTCTACTTTTTGGCCATTGTGAATAATTCGGTTCTGAATGTGAGTATACAAGTATCTCCTCAAATTAATGTCTTCAATTACTTGGGTATATGTCCAAAAGTGGAATTGCTGAATTATAGAGTATTTCTATTTTTAATTCTTCGAGGAATTGCCATCTGGTTTCCCACAGCAGGTGGGCTATTTACATCACCTCGACAGTGTCCACAGGAGTTCCAGTTCCCTAAGTTCTCACCAAGACTGGTCATTCTCTGTTGGAAAAAAAATTATAATAGGTGTGAGGTGGGTTTTGTTTTTATTTTTCTAAGGATTAATAACATTGAGCATCTTTTCCTATTCTAGCTATCTAATTATCTCTAAAGAATCTTCTTTAAAGAAATGTCTATTAATGTACTTTCCTCATTTTTAAACAGATATTTTATTTTAATGTTGACATATAAGACTTATTTTTGTATAGTAGATATTGTCAACCCCTTATCAGATATGATTTACAAATATTTTCTTCTATTCTACATGTTGCATTTTCACTGTGTTGATTATGTCTTTTGATGCACATTTTAAATTTTTATGTAGTCTAATTTATCTTCTCTTCTACTTTTGCCTGTATTTTGGTATTAAAGCTGTTAGTATGTAAATGTCTATAAATACTGACTTACTATGCTGAGAAGGTCACACTCCACCATCTTTCTGATGGTGGAGCTAAGAGTTTTACACTCTCCCATTTTGTACCAGGGGACAGTGCAGCTACGTGAGAACCTAGTGGCTTTCCCGAGCTTATTTGTCTTGCATTTTTGGTGACATGGATTGTTGTTCACATTGGCTTCCTCTGGCAGGTCCACCTGGAAAGCATTATATTTAGCAAGAAAAAGGAGGTTGTAAATGATGTCACTGTAGACTGTGTATATTCCCTGTTGCTAATGTCAAATCTGTGAAGCATAAAGGGATTTAGTAGAGGATATTAAATTCCTTACAAATTGTTGAAAAGCCTTATGGCACAGGCTCCAGGAAAAGCCTCTAGAACAATTCCAAGAATGGCACTGCTGGCGCGGGCTGGGGAGGAGGTCCTGCTGCCTGAGACTCCACATTCAAGGTGTCTCCTGCAGAAAAGAGAGCAGCTCTTCTCACTACTGCCCCCAGAAGGACAGCAGCTCTGCTCTCAACTACTAGAGACATGACCCCTTTCTCTGACTGCCCATTAGCTGTGTCACTGCAGAGTGGTTTTGGATTGAGATGAGGGAGGGGAAGTGCCTGATCTCACTCAAATGTGTTCATTTTCCTGGTCTGGGTCACAGCCAGGCAGCACAGTCCTGTGGGCACAATACCTTCACTTGCCGGGTTTCTATAACAGAGTATCTTTCTGGACTGTGGACAACATGGGGGTGGGGAGGGTCAAGGAATAAAAAAAGGAGTACTTGCAGTTTCCTGAGCTGCCACTCCGGATTCCCCAAATGTTTTCTATCCATTTAATTCGTGATAATAAACATCTTCCTGCCTAACCAGCCATAATCACTTTTCTTAGATCCAAATGATTCAGTGATAAAACTAAAGAGGAAAAAACCAAATAAGCTTTTCAACATTTAAACTGACCAGGAAACTGTCCCTGGTGTTTACACCTCCATATCCCACTATGTGTTTCATCTTCCCTTTGCCTCACTGGGGATCCAAGTGCAGGGAATGCTTCACAGTCATGTGATCCCTAGAACTTCATCTTGATGACTGTTGAAATCTTCTCTGAGTTTTACCAGTGGAAATGGCAATAAATAGAAACATTCCAGAAGGTCCCCTAGGGTCCATATTTTCTGTACTTCCTCTCTAAAATATGTAAAATCAATTCTATTTTTTCTTGCTTTATATTGGCTACATCTATGTTCCCAGCACACACCCTAATGCTCTGTGTTGACCACTTGTCCACTATTGTATTAAGTCTAAATGGTCTTATGCTTATCATATTATTTCTTCCAATTTAATGAAATAATTGTCATGTCAAATCTTTGGACTAAGAACCATCTATCAGAAAACCACAGCCCTGAGAAAATAGAAATAGAGTATTTCAAGCTGTTCAGTTTGCATAACAATGATGAGTCTACAGCTCATTTACAAGATATAAATATTCTGTTTATGGGAGTAATAGCACCATTCATGGTTAGTGTTGCAGACCCTCTGCCACATCTGACAGCATAGCAATTCAATGGTACAAGGGTTTATGTGCCAGATTTGCTTGACTAACAGTGGGTTTTTCTTTGTCTATAGGGAAAGCTGCACCTGTTCACATGACAAGATCATGAGCTACATTTTCACTTTTTTTGAAGTCAATAGGCTGCTTGATCCAAAGTCATATTATGGAAGAACTTCTTGACTCTGATGAAAGCACTTGGAAAATCCTCAAATAATATTTTATGCAGAAACATAACCGAAGAGAAAGGAAAATTCTTATATAGGATAATAAGCACTGCCCTTCTTATGTGACATCAGGTCCACTAGAATCACCTGACATTAGCTGTTAGTCTGAGCCCTGATGTGTGGTATAATGTTAGGGGTTCAGGAGGGGTCAGTTTTCTTGGCAAATTAGGTGTTTAGAAGACCCAATATCCCTGTACATCTCCATTAGTTGAAACTCATATTATTGAGTCCCCACAGGGACCTCCATAACATTGGTTCATGAGGCTACCTGGGAAAGTGGGCAAAGGTGATTGACTGAAGTCCATGTGTTCAATCATCCTCATTATTAAAAACCCCCTGCTCATTAATGGCATTTGGATTAATATTCACTTGGAAAGCATGTTTGTTTCTTGATTATGGATCATTTTTGAAACATCTAGTCATAGGTCTTCCAGAGTGACTTTGTCTGCATTCATCCTGTTGCGTTTCTTCTAAGGCCTGATGGAGACTTTCAGTGAGTACAAATTTTTAAGAAAAAGTTTACTCTATTTAATTATAGAGGTGTTTTATCATTCCGTGGATAAATAATTATGTTTTCAACCTTTACAATCCTGAAAATATTTGCAAATGTAAATTTGCATTAATAATAAAATAAAGCTGGATGTGTTTTCAACATGTGGCTTTAAATATAATTTTTAAATGGCCTCAAAGGGGGAAAATCATTATAACTTTTGTAAATGCCCGTTTTTATCTCTCTTGTGTCCTACAGAGTTGCCCAATAAGAGAACCTCCCATGAGATTTGGAAGTCAGAAAAGGATGACTCAATATTCTCCATTGGTACCTAAGACAGGCACATAGACAGACGTGAGGACTGGAGAAACACCTGGAAATAAGCTGTAGGAAGCTGAGACAGTAGTGAAGATCACATGGTTAGATAGCCCATACTTCAGGGGCAGATGCATTCTGTTTGCTGAGGGAGCACCAGAGATTCCTGCTTCTAATATCAGCTTTCCTGACTGCTGTATCCTTGGTTTTGAAAGGTGTAGTGTGAAAGTTAATCATAGGAATTGGGTCATTCTTGTGATATCCAACAGAGCCAAGAAACCAGGAGGGAAAGGCACTCGGGGTGCAAAATATTGTGTCTAGAGTGCAATCGAAATAGGCCTTATTACCCCATGGAACTAAGGTTTATGGTTTTTTGAATAAACAGAAATTGACTCCCCCCCCCCAGTTTTAAAACTCAAGATAGTTACGTTTATCTTACCTTAGTTTTTTGTTTGTTTGTTTGTTTGTTTTCAGGAAACCAACCATCAGGCCTCCCAGATGCTATCAAGGAGCTGAAACTTACGTATCACTGAATTGGGACAATGAGACATCAGACCCTTTGCCCATTATGATTGCCTAACTGATCTCCTGCTTCCTGTTGACAAAATTATCTTTCTTACTCCTCCATAATTCCTATTTTCCCACATTTCTTCCTTGCTATATAAACCCCTAATTTCAGTTGCTCAGGGAGATACGTTTGTGAATGGTGTCCCATCTCCACAGCTGCAGCACCTGATTAAAGCCTATTGCTTGGCAATACTGGTGTTGGTGATTGGCTTTCTGTGTGGTGAGCTGCAGGATCTACACCGAATCCCTGGCATTTCAGTAACGAAGTTCTCTGCGAGCTTCACTGTTTTGGTTTATTGTAACCTGAAATCAAATTTAACCACAACTTCTGAGATAACTTGATATAATTCTAAGGTTGACTTTGTCCACCACTGCTTACCAGCCTGAGCTTACCAGCTCCCAAGCCTTACTAGTGCCAATGAACTTTCTCTAAGAGCCACAGGTAACATTTTCCCTTTTTCATAAAACTCTAACCTTCTCTTTTTTCTTCCAACATATTGAAGACCACTGAGTTTTCCTGTATGCCCCCTTTGGCAAATATTTATTTGCAAATGAACCATTAAATTTAGAGATTCATCTCTACATTTTATTTAGAATTCAGTAGGTTAGAGTTTAATTCTCCATATTAAGACAATTCCTACTTCAAATATCTATAGTGGCCTCTTCTCTGTTATATGAATTCCAACTGAAGCCCTAAACTAGACTCCTCAGGTGTCATGATCTCTGTATTTATTAAATCAGGAGAAGCATTGCTATGTTTGTGTAGTTGGGGCTGAGAAAGAGAAAAGAATTCAGGTACAGAGGTGACTTCATGTCCCCCTCTACCAACACCATCAGAGTGTGGCTGCATCTGAGGAACACTTTCAGCCCATGGAGGCATCAGGAGGAGCAGCTGGGGCAGCCCAGCCTCACACATCTGCTTCCCTGGGGGTTTTTGTTCGGGTGTGTAACACTGTGGGAGGGGCGCTGCTAAACTGTTGACAGTAATAAGTTGCAAAATCTTCAGGCTGCAGGCTGCTGATGGTGAGAGTGAATTCTGTCCCAGATCCACTGCCGCTGAACCTTGATGGGACCCCACTTTGCAAAGTGGATGCCTTATAGATCAGGAGCTTAGGGGCTTTCCCTGGTTTCTGCTGATACCAGGTTAACCAGCTGCTAATACTCTGACTTGCCTGGCAAGTGATGGTGACTTTTCTCCCACAGATGCAGACAGGGAGGAAGGAGACTGGGTCATCTGGATGTCACATTTGGCACCTGAGATTGGAAATAGAAACACAAATATTCATACTATTGACCATATTATAGGAAGACTTCACTAAATAGCCAGGCAGTACTGACAATACTGGGTTTTCAGTACTGAAAACTGCTAGGGTTCTCCTTCCTTACCTGAGAGCCAGAGCAGAAGGAGCCCCAGGAGCTGAACGGGGACCCTCATGTCCATGTTGTGTCCTGACTGGGTCTGACTCCTGCACGAAGTGTGTCCAGCCTATTAATAAATCTTCAGGGCAGGAGGATGTGTTCTGAGAACATGCAAATGAGCTGGGGAGGGGTCAGGCTGGGCACAGCTGCAGGGCTGGCTCATGTCAGTAACTCAGCACCATCTCAGTGTCCCCAGGTGTCCCAGGTAAGACCAGGGTAGCCCAAATTTGTCTGCAGAGAATGTGTTTCTACTGGGGACTATTTTGTTATGAGAAACAGTTTTAGGGTTTTTTTTGACAATTTTAAATATTCCTCAGGAGCCAATAGAGCAATGTATTTCATTGGTGTATGGGGATTATTTAGGAGAATATTCTTGTTTGTAGGAAACACATAGTAAAATGTTAGATAGTAGGATTCTCAGTCCTTCAAAAGGCTCTCATAAGAGTCCAGTTAGGGAAGGGGGTAATTGTGCTATACTTGAAACATTTCTGTGAGTTTAGCATTGTTCCTTCCTAAAAAAAATTAAAAATAAAATGTATCGACATGATGCCATATATATTTGTAAGTATTAGGTAATGGTGTTATGCCTTTGTTCTTACTAGCATTAGATCAAGCAATTTACTACAGATACACAAAGATGATACCATGTTTTCTCAATGCATGCAGCAGTCACAGATCCACCATTATTAAGAGTGACAGGTCTCTATAGTACCCAGAGACTAAAAGAGGTGCACCTTATTCTTGTTTTCGGCACCTTCATAGTCTACCTTCTTTACTGCCATTGAGTATTATTTCCCAAAGTTCATCCGTCTTATGGTGGCCACTGCAGGGAGCATGTCCCTGCCATGCACCATCAATGACACTTTCTTCTTATACTTTTTATCAGTGTGTGGGGACATCATCCTGACCCAGACACCAACCTCCCTGTTTACATCTTTAGGAAAAAGATACTCAGTCTCTTACCAAGCAATTGCCTATGTACATGGAGAAATCAGTTGGATCCAGATGACTCTGGACAGGGATTTGCACTCATTATATCTCATACCTCTATTGTGCCCCAAAATGTCCCAGCCTGTCTCAGTAGCAGGGAAAGTGGACCCAACTATATCAGGATCAGTGGGCTGCAACATAGGGTTGTATAAAATTTTACTGATGACTAGTAGGGGAGCCAAATCACAGTGCTGTAGCCTGTGCACAAACCTTCCTGCTGTTTTGTAAGCAACCTGAATTTTAAGGGAACTTGCTTATACTGGGAGAAAGGAAGAAAGCTCCATTTGTCCTTTAAATGTTTGCTGAAAATGAATTGACAAAAGAATGATTAATAAGAGAAAAGGCAAAATTCACTTAAAGTGCAGCAGGATATTATTGCAGGGTGATTACCCAGATAACTCAATGAGATCCAGTTATTCATATTTCCTTTCTACTGAAGAGGGAATTGGGGAGTGTAGGAAACCTAGAGATAATAGATGAGAATAGAAGTGCATCTTCAAAAGAACAGGTATTTCTTGTCTGGATAAAGCCTCAACTTCCAGTCTCTTCTATTTTTGATTCATGTTTTGTGTTAATCTTCTCTGATATAAAAATTCCCAGGAAGAATTTCCTTGACAATTGTTTTTCTTCTTGAGAATTTGCTTTTTGGCAGATAAGGGATATTTAGGAAAAGGCTTTTTATGCATTTGCTGCTTTCTAAATGCCTTTGGTTTCACATAATCATCATACCAATCAGCATAGTTTAAGATGTTATTTCCTGGATTCCTTTACTTAAAGCCACCTGCCAAGATCCTATTCCGGAGAGATGCAGCTACAGATTGAATGAGCAGTTGACCCCTGAACAACGTGGAGGTTGGGGCACTTACCACTGGTGCAGCTGAAAACCTGTGTAGAACTTTTGCATCTTTAAGTACTGTATTATATTTGACTGGAAGCCTTAGTGATAAAATAAATAATTGAGTAACACTTTTTTACGTTATATATATTTTATACTCTATTCTTCCAATAAAGTATGCTAAAGAAAAAAATGTTATGAAGAAAACCATAAAAATGAGCAAATACATTCGCTACTGATTAAGTACTTGCTCTCAGGTGACACACAGAAGAAAATATAAGTGGATCTGCAAACTTCAAACCCAAGTTATTCAAGGGTTAACTGTACCAGGATGAATGTAGCAGTCCCCATCTGTAGTCTAGGGCTTTCCCCTTTGCTGTACCTCTGCTCACTTCCAATGGCCGTATATATGTCTTATGTTCTGTATGATCTTGGGCAGAGAACTCTTCCTACATGCATTGCTGGCCAGATGTCCTGGAATGTGTATATCTGAGGAAAGTGCTGTGGTGTGACTCTGTCCTCCAGAATCCATCTGTTGTAAAGTTAATTCTCAGTGTAATGGTATTGCCAGGTGGCGCCTGTTGGAATGTGTTTAGGTCTTGAGGGTGGAGCCCTCTAGTGGAATGCCAGTATAAGCAGGGTTTATGGAGTTGGAATCTTTCTCTGTCTTCTGCTAGTCTGTCATGATAAGACAAAAACCTTCCTTCCTTTGAAGAACTCAACTATCCAGGCATCATCTTGAAAGCAGAGAAAGCAGACCTTAACTTGCCCATGCCTGGATCTTAAACTTCCCATTCTCCAGAAGTGTGAGAAAATATATTTCTGTTTTTTATGAATTACACAGTGACAAGGAATCTGTTATAGCAGCTTGAAAGAGAACAGGAGAGACAGCTCACAATCAGTGAGGACAGGATGAGGTGTACACATACCTCAGCTTCCTCATCTCTCAGGTGGAAGAGCCCAGAGGAATTTAGTCCATGTTTCCACATGTGGTTGATCTTCAGTTCTCCTGAGTCAGGTGGGTTGTTGATGTGTCTTTTACCATTCATCTTCTGCCCCTCCTTCACTTTCCTCCTTTCCTCACAGTGTAAATTTGCTGCTTAAACAGGAATCTTCATTGCTGATGGACCCAAACCAAGATAGTAAAAAAAATCGTTAATCTTTTGTATGAGGGGTATTTCTCATCTGAATTCTTATCACTTCTCTTTCTTTGACATGTCGGACTATTCAGCAAGCACTTAATTTTTTTGTTGTTGCTGTTTTTACTAATCTATTTTAGATTGAATTTATTAAGTGATTTTTTTTTTCTGTGTGTTTTCTAAACCAAAAATTAAGTTGTAAGCCACCAGTTAGCTGAACGGACTCCTGTTTTGGCAGAGAGAACTTCACAGAAATTTGAAAAACTAGGTTAGGCCATGACTGGCAGGTGGATTTAGACGTGCCTCATTATACTCTCCTCTCTTTGGAGTTCGGACACAACTGACCAGCATTATCATTACAACAGAGACCTTTCGACTGACAAAACAGATGCTTTGTAGCAATAAGATACCATACTCCAACATGACCGATAATAGGCCCTGAAGAAAATCTAAAAATTTTACTCTAAAAATATTTCTTTTTCTTTTTTTTTTTTTGAGACGGAGTCTTGCTCTGTGCCCAGGCTGGGGTGCAGTGGGGCAATCTCGGCTCACTGCAAGCTCCGCCTTCCGGGTTCACGCCATTTTCCTGCCTCAGCGTTCCAAGCAGCTGGGACTACAGGCGCCCGCAACCACGCCCGGTTAATTTTTTATATTTTTAGTAGAGACGGGGTTTCACCGTGTTAGCCAGGACGGTGTTCATCTCCTGGCCTCGTGATCGGCCCGCCTTGGCCTTCCAAAGTGCGGGGATTACAGGCGACGAGTTTTGATATACGAATACTGGCCATTAGAAACTGGGTCCAGTCAAACATGGCGATTCCCACATTCTTCCTTTATTTTTATTTTTATTATTATTTTTTTAAGACGGAGTCTCACTCCATCACCCAGGCTGGAGTGCAGTGGAAAGATTTCGGCTGACTGCAACCTCCGCCTCCTGGGTTCAAGCGATTCTGCTGCCTCAGCCTCCTGAGTAGCTGGGATTACAGGTGCATGCCACCACGCCCAGCTAATTTTTGTATTTTTAGTAGAGACGAGGTTTCACCATGTTGGCCAGGATGGTCTGGATCTCTTGACCTCATGATCCACCTTCCTTGGCCTCCCAAAGTGCTGAGATTACAGGCGTGAGCCACAACGCCTAGCTCCCACCTTCTTCTTCCTTGCCCCTACAGGTGCCTGGCAAGATGGCTGCCCCCATATGTCCCCATGTGTGTAGAACATTACAGTACCCTGTATTTGCATATTAAAACGCTAGGGTGGGAGGGCCAGCTTTTTCTCAGGCTACATGAATGACATGCCTGGTCAAACCAATCCCCTGAGCCCTATGCAAATCAGACACCACCTCCTCCTCCAGCTTCCTCATATAAGCAGCCATTTTTCCACCGCACTGGAGTTTTCTTTTTGAATCCACCCTCCGTCTGTCTCTGTAGGGGGGAGCTGTTTTCTTATTCCTTCCTTCCTGCATATTAAACTTTTCGCTCCTTAAAACAACTCCACGCAAATTCGTGTCTTTTTAAACAAACCAGTGTGAGACTAAGAACCCTGGTGTTCCTCCAGGCATCGGACTCCTATCATAAGGATTCTACCTTACATAGCAAAAGAAGAACTTGACAGATGTAAGTTAAGGACTTTGAGAATAAGCAACCTGGTTACTCAGATGAAACCAATATAATCACAAAGGTCTTTAAAATAGAGGAGGAGACTTGCAGTCAGAGAGGAGCTGGGACAATGGTGAGGGATGTGGTTTGAGGAAGGAAGGGGCCATGGAACCAGAAATGTGGGAGCACCTGGAAGATAAAAAGCAGAGGATCCAGTTCTCTCCTCTGGAACATCCAGAAGGATTACAACCCTACTGACCCCTTAACATTAGCTCAGTGAGAATGCGGACTTCCGGAACTACAGGGTGATACATTTATGTTGTGTGAAGCCAATAAGACTGTGGCAATTTAAACAGCAGCGTTGGAAACTCATGCAAGGGGGAGAGATGTCTTTCACCTCACTGAGCACATGGTTGTCCTCTGTTCTTGGAAATATTTTCACCTTGTTTTCTGGTGTCAGTTATGA